TTTTAATTACAATATTTTATAAGAATATTTATATATTTGTTATATAAAGTTATTTCTTTCTATATAATATATATATATATAATGAAGTTTTTCTTATTCACCTATGAAACATGCATTCAAATCATCGGAGTGACAAATGTCCATCACGAAATTAGTACTTCGAGCTTAGTAAAGCATTGGAGACACACCCCGCTTCTGTATGGCAGTCATTTTATCATCTTTGTGCTTTTTAAAACATATTTGCTGATTGTCTTTCCATCTGTGATTTCGAAATTGTCTTTCTCCTTTCATCTACAATATGGAATTTTAAATTCATTTTTTGATCTTTTCTTCTTAACAATGCACGGGGGTGGCTTATTCTGTCTTGTTTGATGTTAATAGCATTTATTCTTTTTTAAAAAATATTTCTTATATATTTTATTTTAATTGATTTTTGATCAAATTTCTCTAATTTATAAATTATTTCAGAAATTAAAAGAACGTTAAATTAATTCTTAGTATTAAGTTTTATTCAAGGAAAAATTATATATTTATATTTTATTTTAAAGAAAATAAAAGAATATTAAAATCCGAAGAGGAATACAATTTTTTTAAGTATTGTTTTCGGTTATTTAGCGCCGGATATCATAAAAAAAAAATTGTTTAGATTAAAATGAATTTGTTGAATTGATGGATCGTACATTCTCGAATTTGATTTTTACATTATACAATATCAGTTTCGCTTAATCAAATTAAAAAAATAATAATAATAAAATATAAAAAAATGGGGTAGAATTGTTTCTATTTTTCAGTTGTTGTTCTTATCTTCGATTCTTTTGATTTTCTTTCTTCGTTTCGGTTGTTGCACGAAGCGTTTTCCTCGGAAATTTCTGTAAAAATCGATGTAAATCGTCGAGTTTCGTGGTTATAAGTTTGAAGAAACAATACAATGTTTGCATGTTTCAGTTGGAGTAAGTTCCGTTTTGGGAATTCAAACTTATATTTTGCTTTAATTTGCCTTTTATCTGATTTGTACTCCGAGAAGCGCAATAAATGGAAACATTTTTTTTTCCTCTCTCATTTTAATAATCTTCGATTTTCTTAGAAGAAGGTAATTTATAAAAATATATAAATATATAAATTAAATTTCTCAATTTTTTTAAACATTTATATATAATAATTCGAGACGTTATTAAATAATGATAATTAAATATCAGCGTTATTGATGTTTAATCGTCATCAGTCAAGTCGAATCATATCTTTCTTCTAATTGTTTGTTGTTATCTTAATTTTATTTTATTATTATTTTTTTTTTTCATTTTGAATTGTTTATATTTGAAATTTCGCGATTAGCATCCATTAATTCGCTTTGTAACAATAATAATTTAATTTTGAATGAATTAAATAGGTCATTTCATCGTCGAGAATACATCATTAGATACATTCCTTTTTTTTTCCCCCTCTCTCCTCCTCCTCTTCCTCCCTCCTTCGTGAATATTCTTAAAGTTAAAAGCATTGTTAAGGTCCTAAGTTGCTTTTAAACTTGACATTATTTGCACAAATGTATTTATAAATTTATTTTAAGTGATTTAATTATCTCAACGAGGAAATTTAATCTGCTTCTTTCACTCGTTAGTGTCACTTATAATTATTCTATTTGGTTCAAATATAATCAACAGATCCACTTTATTTACGATTATTAATTGGGAAAACATGGTAAACACCGTTATTTTCGAAATAAGATCGGGTTATAATTAGCATATTTCTTCATTAATTTGCCTTTTGTTCGATTGTAATTGTTTCTTTTTTTTTATAAATCCGATTAGATAATTGGGTTTGAACTGTGTTAGGGGGAGAGAAATGTTAATGAAGCGGAATTTAATATGTAAATATTTAGCGATTTTGGACGTGAGAAAAGGAAATAAATAAATATATATATATATAATGAAGTTTTTCTTATTCACCTATGAAACATGCATTCAAATCATCGGAGTGACAAATGTCCATCACGAAATTAGTACTTCGAGCTTAGTAAAGCATTGGAGACACACCCCGCTTCTGTATGGCAGTCATTTTATCATCTTTGTGCTTTTTAAAACATATTTGCTGATTGTCTTTCCATCTGTGATTTCGAAATTGTCTTTCTCCTTTCATCTACAATATGGAATTTTAAATTCATTTTTTGATCTTTTCTTCTTAACAATGCACGGGGGTGGCTTATTCTGTCTTGTTTGATGTTAATAGCATTTATTCTTTTTTAAAAAATATTTCTTATATATTTTATTTTAATTGATTTTTGATCAAATTTCTCTAATTTATAAATTATTTCAGAAATTAAAAGAACGTTAAATTAATTCTTAGTATTAAGTTTTATTCAAGGAAAAATTATATATTTATATTTTATTTTAAAGAAAATAAAAGAATATTAAAATCCGAAGAGGAATACAATTTTTTTAAGTATTGTTTTCGGTTATTTAGCGCCGGATATCATAAAAAAATTGTTTAGATTAAAATGAATTTGTTGAATTGATGGATCGTACATTCTCGAATTTGATTTTTACATTATACAATATCAGTTTCGCTTAATCAAATTAAAAAAAATAATAATAATAAAATATAAAAAAATGGGGTAGAATTGTTTCTATTTTTCAGTTGTTCTTATCTTCGATTCTTTTGATTTTCTTTCTTCGTTTCGGTTGTTGCACGAAGCGTTTTCCTCGGAAATTTCTGTAAAAATCGATGTAAATCGTCGAGTTTCGTGGTTATAAGTTTGAAGAAACAATACAATGTTTGCATGTTTCAGTTGGAGTAAGTTCCGTTTTGGGAATTCAAACTTATATTTTGCTTTAATTTGCCTTTTATCTGATTTGTACTCCGAGAAGCGCAATAAATGGAAACATTTTTTTTTCCTCTCTCATTTTAATAATCTTCGATTTTCTTAGAAGAAGGTAATTTATAAAAATATATAAATATATAAATTAAATTTCTCAATTTTTTTAAACATTTATATATAATAATTCGAGACGTTATTAAATAATGATAATTAAATATCAGCGTTATTGATGTTTAATCGTCATCAGTCAAGTCGAATCATATCTTTCTTCTAATTGTTTGTTGTTATCTTAATTTTATTTTATTATTATTTTTTTTTTNTGTGCAAAAAAAAAATAATAAAAAAAGGCATTTCATTTACTAAACGAATTTCCGGTAATCAGTTTCTTTTCCAATTAAAAATTGTAAAAATTTTTCTAAATCTAAATATATGAACGTAACGCGTGCCTAATGCCTGGAAACGTGGCATGTTTTAAGAGGATGGACGGCTTCCAAAATGCCTTAATCTAACTAATTTGATTAATAATTGCGTATATCAAGATTAGAAAAGGGACGATACAAAATAATCTTTTACTTTAAGAGATTTTTGTCTTAATAGAATTTTCCAAAATCAAATATCATTATAACAAAAGAACTGGAGTGGGAAAGTAAAATATAGTCCTAATCAATATTCTAGTAAAACTACAAGCGTGGAAAATTCCGTTAATGGAATACTTAAAATATAGTTTTAGCTTGATCAGTTGACCTGATAAAACGATATTCCCATCTTACTGCTTTGACAGCTCGGGCATACCTTATGAATTTTACATACTTCTAATTACAAATTATAATTTGTTCAGTATAATTATAATGTTTAAAGGGGAAAAAAATGGGAGAAAACTTTATAAATATCCTCTCGAATTTAATATCGGACAATACTCGGTTGCTTCGTACTTATTTTTATTTAGATTTTTACACATTATACCTTAATTTATTAACGTGTTATTAAGGCATGTTTAATGTAGAAAAAAAATTAAAGGGAGGGTAGACGAACGGGTGTTATTAATAAGAGAAAATATAGAGTAAAAATATATTTTTCCGGGGTAAATCTAATTTGATTTGATCGTTGATCGAACGATACTGTCATTTGTTTTCCATTATCCTAATCCATTCCGATATTAAAATCGAATAGTTTATGGAAAGCTAATGTAGCCGTCCAGCGAAACACGAACATTGTTTAACCAGTGAATTTTATTCTATATTTAAGAGAATTTTTAATTTAAATATTATATAAATTTGAAGCCAACGAGGTATAATTCTCTCCTCCTTTTTTCCTCTCTCTCTCTAACTTTCAATTTAATTTATTGCGGTCGCAAATTTTAACTCGATACAATCTCTGGAGTGTTTTTCTCCATTAATTTCGTTGAAAAACAGCCACCGAAGGTCGATTAAGTAAAACGAAGGCTACAAGGAGGCCTTTGGCTTAACGACGAACTATAAATGTATTTAAATTAAAGCCATCGACTCGCTCTACTGAGTCCACTTACAATACGAAGCGTTCGCATTCCTGTGGTCAATCTCCCAATATCAAATTATACAATTTGCAGCAATTGCTGGCTGCGGCGTACGAGAGTCGAGCTGCTAAATCAAATATCGACGGGGGAACATTTAAGCTCTTAAGGGGGAGGGGAGGAGAAAAAAAAATGAAAAATACCTTGCAAAATTTACCTTGTCGTTCGTTTACTATTACCTAATTACTCACCGGCCGTAGTGGGATTCTTCTCCTTTTTTTTTTTCTTCCTCTTTCTTTCCTCTCCCCTCTTCTTCCTTCCTCTAATTTCGATTAAGTGAATCTGATTAAGATTTTAATTTTTAACTATTCTCCTTCCTTTTATCTCGTGTCATTTATTTTAATGTTGTTTTGCTTTTTCGCCTCGATTCTTCAGCGGGAGAAAACGTCTGTAAGTAGATCCGTATCTTAAAAAAAACGAAAACTCGGCTTCTTACCAGAAAATCAAAGGTTTCATCAGGAGTTAAAATGTTGCCATTCTTTTATATTTACTAGAAAATCGCTTGCCATTTTCGAAAGTTTGCAGAGAAAAACCTTTCCCACTTAAAAAACTTTTTTAACTTTCGCGGTTGTAAGTAATAATAGGTCTCTGGTTTCACCTAATTTTTTATTCTTATTTATTTTTTTTTTCTTTTTTCAGCCCGGCAATGATCCGTATTGCTTTGTGGAATTCACCGATCACCAAGCTGCAGCAGCAGCTCTACTCGCCATGAATAAACGGCAATGTTTGGGAAAGGTAAGATTGCTGAATTTCTTTCTTCTTCTTCTTCTTTTTCTTTTGTTTTCTACCCGTTTCGTATTAGTTATGAACTCGGAAACCCTTTTGGAAATTCTCTTTCCCACTTTAAATGAAGAGATCTCCATACGGAAATTTTCCTCTTTATGATAGTTTTCATAATTAGTTTAAAAGTAAAAGCGAATGCAAATTGTGTTAATGTCGGCAAATTACCTTTGTTTGCTGTTAGAATTATTAGAAGATACATTCCTTTTATTCCAATTAGTTGGCAATTATTTAACTTGCAATTTACATGGTAGCTGTTCTTTACGAAAATCTAGACGAAAGATGTGTAAGAAAGAATAATCTTAGTTTACTCGACGAACAAAAGGGAGCGAGAAGAAGGGGAGGAAGAAAGAAAGAGAGGGAGAGAGTAGGGTCTTAACCAAACTCGTGCACGAAATTAAGACAATTGTTTGTTCCACAAGAATACCTAGAGATAAAGGAGAGACCGGAAGGATGGTGACTTCCGGCATGAGATAAGACCCGGATGTACTGAGTTAAGACCTTGGAAAGCTGGAGAAGTCGTTGGGATCCATTTATCCCAGAATTAACCGCTACAGCCGTGCGTGTCGTTAACGATCTCGCGACCAACCTTCCCCCCTTTTTTTTGTCGCTTCTTCCTTATTTCGAGCTCCCTGATGTTTCGGTATCAGTACTTCCCATTGGCATGACCGTGACGATGGGAGAATTAAGGGGAAAAAACTGAATTAATCACACAGGTAAAATAAATATTTATAAGGCGAATGGTAACTTGGGATAGATCTTTCTTGTTTCTCGCAGCTGTAACCCTTCCAAGAGTTCTGAGAGTCTGCAATCAGGTTAATGTTCATAGTAGTTTATATCGATTTCCATATTTTACGAGAAAACTTTGAAAACCGAGCTTGTTTTTCTATCTGAAGAATTGTAAACGACTTCAATCGGATGTGCAGATTAAATGCCTTTAAAGAATATTTTACTCGGGTATTTAATGCTTCTTGTTTGTCGTGTTTGCTCTTGCAATTCTTGATTATTATTCAGTGTACTGGTGGTGTTTTCGGATGTTTTCTGGTGAGGTTTTTTTTTCCTGCAGCCGGCGGGTCGTCGGAATTTTCTAGTCGTGAAATCGAACCGCATCTTTACAGGGTATAGTGTTACATTGTATGACGTAAGAGACTCATCCGTTTCTCTAAAGACAATAATTTCACCCGGTTCGCTTGCCGATCAATGGATGGTATCACACCCGACTTAAGCCACTTAGCCGTGTGAAGTGGAGAGAGACCTTCGCTTTATTAGTCAACGATCAAGTCGAACGTAAAGCTTTGCGCCGGTAACCTTCCTCGCAACGCACAGCTGCCGTTCAGTGGAAACCGATTTACAGGAGTCGAGCGTGATTTTCAGAACGAGATTGTTGTGCAGCATCTCGTGGAATCCCATATGGGAACAGTCGTTTCCATTTGTCAAATAAAATCGTCACTCGTCCCTAGGTCACGTGGCCTCGGGAGGTTCTCTGGATACGGAACGGCTCACAATTCCATTATACTTGATCCCTTTTTAAGATAATGGACTGGCAGTTCCCAGATGTATACATCTGTGCATTGTGGCCTGTTGGTCTCTCCGTCAACCCGAGCTAGCGGTTAACAAGTGATCTAAGGTTTGGACTCTATCTTTATCTCGAGAGGGACAACTCACTTTGTCCAATACCATTCGCGCTTATCCTAATTGTCTCTCCTTCTTTTGTTTATTTTTCTTTTGTTAATTCAAACTACAATCTTTCCAAACTCTTTGAATCTATAATTATTTGAAAGAGCAAAAATTATTATTATTATAAACTTTGTGAGATTTCTCCTTTTACATACGCTCGTTTTAGGAAAGTAAAATTGCATTATATCAAAATTTAACGAATTATCTCTACGCGGAGGAAGATTTAAATCTTTGTTGAAAGAAATTATCGATTAGAAGCATCATTCGTCGTTATGAGAAAATTTTGATTGGAATTTTCGATGTTATCAAGCAATTTTTACCCTTCGGGGATTCTGTCGTTTCATTTCTTGAGTTCGCTGATTATTTCGAAGTCTTATTCAATTGGGCGAATTGGAATCGGGGAAAAAAAATTAAATTGATGTATCATTAGAGAAAAGAGTTTATACGTTTTAATAGACAAAAATCTGACGATATATCCGAGATATTTTCAGTAAAAAATCTCTCCATTCGACGTCGAAATTTATAATATTTCTAAGTGATGCGCTTTAAAATTGCCCCGCCTTTCTAAGATTTATTGCGAAAAATAATAACTCTTGTGGATGTAAATTATGTAGAAATATAGAAATTTCGATAATTTTCAATCTTTCTAAGTTGTTTTCTATGCACCAATTTTACATATTAAAATATGGCCGGAGTAAGAATACGGATGTCTTTTCTCTTCGGATCGGTTAAACCGGATCTATTTACAATGAAAATCAAATTAAGCTGAAAACTGTAGAGCTGATGATCCTTATATTAAAAAAAATCGATTGGGATACACTTCACGCTAGCAGATAAAAGTTTTCTGTGAATTGCGAAGAAATTTTCAACAAAATTCTTTCTTTGTTCTCGTCTCGTCTGCTTCGCTCATTCCTTCATTTTTTTTTCCTTTCTTTCTTTTTTTCCCTCCCGTCATGAGAGAATAAGAGCAAAAGTTCTGCCCTCTTCTTAGTTAGAACACGATTTCTCGAAGCCAGAAACAATTCGGCGAGAACAGGTCTAGCTTTTTAATTCCCTACTAACCGACGATTGATCGGGTATCGGTGTCTCTCCCCCTCCACTTCCCTCCCGGGATCTCGATTCCGAAGTGTTTTGATTCGTTGGTCTGATCGTCACGTCTGATGACGGTACAGACCGGGTTTGCTGACGTCACCATTAGCAGTGCTGGGTTGCACTTCCTCCCTACCTAAAGCTTGAAGAATCCTAGATTAGATGTAGTCGAGTTTTTGTTTTCTCTTTCCACTTTTCCACAAAGAAACGTCGAGTTCACTTTCGACTTGTCTGATTTCGAAGATTATCGATACTCCCTCCCTCCCCCCTTCAGTAGTTTCTTATTATTAGTAACTTTATAACGTTGGAAGTATCTTCGGCTACTTAATAAAGTAAAAATCTCTTAAGTATTCTCTGACGTCTGATGAGTGAAAATTCACGTGGAAACGAGTTACCTCGAGTGTCGTCATTGCTCTTCTGCTTGTCGTCGCAGTCACTTCTGGATGAAACGAATTTGCGTTTTAGAGAAGAAAGAAAAACGTTGAGCTTACAATGGTGACAGGTTGCTGTGTATATGCAGACGGACTGCCGAGAGGAGGAGGGGGGTCGGAAAAATCTCGTCTGTTTGCAAGACGGATCAAATCAGACAAACATCTATAAATTATACAAAACATCCGGGTTTCAGAACGTCGTCTTAACTTCCGGGGACTTGCGTTGCCTAGCAACCATTTTTACCCGTCCCCGTCTATTCCTGTGTGACTTATTTCGTATATATTGTCCGGTCGAATCGGTTACGTCTCCCACGTTGTTACGAGTGCTTTTTAAAGTACCCTTTACGAAGGGTGTTAAATAGTAGGGTTTTTTAGGGGTATGTAGGGAAAATATCGATGTTTTATAAACAAATTAGCCAGAGAGAATAAGAGAAAGAACAGAATAGAAAACAATATTTACTCATTATCCACCGGTTGTGGCTCAACGAAGTAAAAGCTTTCCAAGACTGCAGTGACTGTGAAGCGAAACGGGAAAGGACAGGGAGTTAGCAGGATTGTGTTGACTGTTCCCACCCATCGATTGCCAGTTTAATTAGCGGCACGGATCGACCTAAGTCGTCACTCTGCAAACAGGGAAAAAATTTTTTTCTCCCCTTTCTTTCTTTCCCTTTCCCTCACTCGGAAACATTCGGAAAATATCCTCGAATCTGTTTGTTCCGCTCGCGTTACTCCACCCCCGCATCTTTCCACTTTCTTCCACCCCCAAATTTTTTTTTCTTAAATCCAGCAGCATCCTGCAAAAAGACAAGGAGGATTTTTTAGGGAGTTTTTTTTCTATTTAAAACTGTAGGAATTTCTCGAGTAGTCGAGCTTAGATTATATAATCGTAAGGTTTGGGTTAAAAGTAACGAGGCCGCACGAGAAAGCAGTAGATGATGACACATCAAGAAAGAGACTGTAATTAATTAGAAATGCCTCTAGTAATTAGGTAATCGATGTTTACATTTGCGTCGGTGATATACTTAAAGGCCGAAAACGGCCGATGTTCGCCCGTTGTGATGTTTATCGCCCTAGGAATTTTCCATAAGTATTCTAGGGATTAACCGTTTTCTGGAATATTTTCCAGCCATTTGCTGGAAACTTTTAGTCAGATAACCGGCTTCGTTGGAAACGAGGCAACTTAGGAAGTGAGAAGGTGCGGCCAAAACCGAAAGGTAGGGCGTGGTACGTCCGGTCTCAAATATTAGATACTACCCGATCGATATCGCTTCTATGAATCTATAGAAAAAAATAATAAAATAAAGCCAAAAATAAGAGCGACTTTCAGCAACAGATCGACTTCGTTATAACGTATAAAACGTATGATACGTAATATAGAGGTGTTTTTTTTATTTTTATCTTTTTTTAAAGTGCGGTTAATTGTCAAAGTGGAGGGAGAACCTGTTGGATGGGAAGTTCGGAGATAGCGCGTGGTCGCGACTCGAGCGACTAAGTGGTCAATTGTTATCATTAGAAGGCGATTCTCTCGCACCATCCGTAACAGCTCCTTCACGCGCGAGGGAAAACGTGATGGCGGAAGAGTATCGACTGAGCATGCTCGGCAATTCCACGAGGAAACGTAAACGTTGTTTTTATTACATCCAAGGCCCGGGAACTTGGATACGGTGGACGAAATTAACTTTTCGGAATTCGGCTACCGCCCGTCCTCTTTACTTTCCTGGGCACCGCGCGATTTTCTGCATCCGATTGATCCCGATA